CTGCAGAGAGTATTTGTTTTTATCTCTGTACAGCCACATATTGATAGTGAGTTATTTGCTGCTGTGTACATAAGAGGACAAAGAGATTCAGTTCAACAAAATAAGAAAATTAAATTTACAGGCAATTTACAAAACTGTAAATTCTCCACAAATCCACCTGTGGTTATACAGATAACATGCAGCCTCACTCTTACCACTACCTTTTTCCATACAGCCTATTTTTTTGTTGGCTTTAGACTGTTTGGGTACAGTGTTCATGGCTACCCCCGCCTGCACTAATGGGTATGTCCAAATATGATAAATGACATTATATTGGATAATATTCACCTTTGTTCCATATTCTGTAACACTACCTGTGTGGTAAGGCAGGGGAGAAGTGTACGAGTAGCACTTGAAAGCAGCATTTCAAATTTAATGCAACACGTGTGTAGGCCTAAATGCTTCTGCTCCTACACAGAAATGTCTGTCAGAGATTTGTCAGGACAAGTTGCATTAGCGTTCAGTGTACAGCAATTATAGTATTTTAGGGTGTTCAAATTAATCAGTAAATTGCTGTATAAAGTTGAATTTAGATTGTAAAATATTGATGAATCCGTATGTATGCAATACTCTCTGTCAAGTAAAGCAAAAGATAAGATAAAATAAGATAAGATATTCCTTTATTGATCCCCTGTGGGAGAAATTCGAGTTTGACACAACAGTACAGGGAAATGTAGTGCAAAAAGTATGGAAGTGTAAAAATCCAATAAAGGATTATAAAATAAAAATATTATAAAGATATAATGGAAAATATAAAGACTATAATGAAAATATATACACTATATGCAGTATGCAGTAAGAAATAGGGTGTGCATATTGTATAACCAACTGTACACGTGCCATTATTGCAAGGTAAGTTTGTGCTAAGAAGTTAGAAAGCAAAACCTGCTTTTCAGGGATGAGAAATGTTAAATATCCCTGCAGATGTTGAGAGCTCAGACCCACCCTAACAGCAAGATCTTTGTTTTTTTAAGGTGGAGCTCAGAACAAGGGCTTTAGCAGGGCCATCGATCGCAGGTATTATGTCCCCTGCTTTTGTATATTTTTAGGGTATGAATTCAAAGTACATATGTTCATTTAGCCCTCTGTATTTAAGTGTAGTGGACTCTACAGAACCTGCATGGAAATAAATCCTTTTATTAATCATCATTTTGTCCTCACTGTGTGTTGTTTTACTACTGTACCAGAACATTATGTTGGGGTAAATGTTCCTGACTAATACAAGCAATTCATAACACATTTCCTCAGAGCCAGTACTGGCTTTGATTTGAGATGATAAAGTGACAACATACCAGGAAAATGACACACTTTATTAATGTAGGACAGTTTATACACAAGAAAAACACAATGTACACAGAAAAAAGGCTAATGTGCAGTTGTAAATCAATATAATAATACTATAGTAGACATAACATTGAGACAAAGAGACTACAGAAAGGAACTGGAAGTATAATGCTATTAAATAATTGGTGGTCCGCAGTCTGTCGCCGATTGGATCAATACGCATGCGCATAAACGGCTTCGTATCAATCCAATTAGGTTAAGCATATCCGCGACCACTCCGTCTGCTCCAATCTCATTGGCTAGGTCCCTGATAGTGTGGGCGTCGTCACCTGGACGCCGCCGGCTCTGATTGGCTGCGGCGCGGACGTAGTGTCCGCCTACGGTGGCCTCAGCAGTCGCATATTACTTCGCTGATTGGAGGCGGGTCTGTCACTCATCCGGGATATTAAGGAAGAGGTTGCCACTGCCAAGATGAAGCACTACGAGGTGAGTAGTGTCTATGAAACTGTAAACCGTCAATGGGCCGCGTTATTGGGACAGAAGTTAATTAATTAGACCAATTCGGATTCCCCTGCGATCTCCTGAAGAGTAAACTCTTCCTGGACTGTCCAATGTAAAGCTTTAAGCACGAGCAGCGGGTCTCCTGCTGCACGCGCTGGTTGCTGTGAGCGGGGATTTGGCCTCTCGTGCACGGAAATGAGCGTTTGTACTGTCTAACATTGTAGCTCAATGCACTGACAGTAAGGTCGAGCTGCAGACACACACAGGATGAATTGTACTGGAGCTGTGTTCTGTTGAGTCCACAGAAGCTGAACGTCAGTGTCAGCTGAACACCGAGCCCTCTGTGGAGATCATCTCTGGCAGGAATGACTCTTCTTATCGTGTTATTAGCCAATAATGCAGGTGAACAGTCAAGTGCGCAATATTAGCCCATTTTAAATCAACCTTCATGGCTTGGATGGGTTTAACTTTACAAAACCAGCCAGACCTTAAGTTAATGAGAGACTGACTTAAAAAGAAGAAAACATGTTTTGGTACGTCTTCACATTATTCTGTTTTATCTTTACTGTGAAAGGTTTCCTGTGCTGCTGCCGTTGTACTCCTGTAACACTAACAGATTCTGTAAATGTGAGCAAGAGTTTCATGAGCACTAAAACCCACCAGACAGGATCTGAAGTAGTCTCACAGAAACTGACCCAACCAGTGGCTGCTCCGGTTCCCCTCCTTTCACTTGACAGATGTGGCTTCTGCAACCTGTGAGGGAGAAAAAAACACTGAAATAATGAAGATAGATCAATTAAAACACAGCCAAGTTAATATATATAGTTAGTTATATAATCCTCCTTAACATAATATGCTATGGAGAATGATTTCTCCTTAGATGAGGTTATTTCCCCCCGAAGTATCCACTGAAATGGATACTATGTGCTTAATTGTGAGGGGTTTTCATGAGTCAATATCAGTGTTTGCACTGGTGTCAGCATATATTTGCACTGGCCATTGTGTCAGTTATAGGCCTGACTCCCAGTCAGTCAGCTCAC